TTACTGTATGCTAATATCATGGGATTCTCTGAAGATCCATGGAGTGTAATGATATAGAAAGGTTTAGAATGGTATAGAAGCTCAGAACACTGATAGCTGGTTTTTATTTGGTATGTTGGCCTGGTGCTTATTTCAATTGTTATTTCATAATATTTCATTTTTATTATATTATTTCATAATATTATTTAATAAATTATTGTTTTTTTATTTGGTATAGTGGTCTAGTGCACATTTTATTTTATTAAAAAAAAAAAATTATTTCATAATATTTAATTTTTAATATATGTTTTATAATATTATTTAATAACTAATTGTTTTTATTTGGTATATTGGTCTAGTGCACATTTTATTTTATTTTTTATATTTCATAATATTTAATTTTTATTATGTTTTATAGTATTATTTAATAAATTGATGTTTATTTGGTATAGTGGTCTAATGCACATTTTATTTATTTATTAAAAATATTTCATAGTATTTCATTTGTATTATATGTTTTATAATATTATTTAATAAATTATTGTTTTTTATTTATTTTTATTTATATTGGTCTGGTGCATATTTTGTTTATTTAAAAATATTTTATAATTTTTTTTTATTATACTATTTCATAATATTATTTAATACATTATTGGTTTTTATTTGGTATAGTGGTCTTGTGCATGGTTATTGTCTAATATTTAATTATCATTCTATTTTTTCAAAATACGGTTTCATTAATTCTTACAATATTCAATAAAATTATATCAGAAACCATTCCAATATGCTGTTTGGTGATCAAGAAACATTTCTTATCATTGTTGAAAACTGTTGTGCTGCTTCATATTTTATGAAAACTGACATTTTGTTCAGGAAAAAGAAAGTTCAAAAGAACAGCATTTAGTTAGAAGTCTTTTATAACATAAAATATGATTTAATAATATTATAAATTAGCTTTAATTCAATATAATAAATTCTGCTTTTTAGTTCAAATCATGCCAAAAAACTGTTTTTCATGTTACTCCAGCTACTTTGTGTTCTGAAGTAAAATAAAACAAAACAAAAACAGGCAATGCTTCGATCCAAAATTAATAATGATTGACTCTCGTAGTTGTAAGGCAGGGCTTTTATTGAGCGTTCTGATATTTTCCATTCATTTTCTATGAGTATCCAGTCTTCTGCTGCTCATATTGTCTCTGGGGTTAGTCAGTAGTAATTAATGTGTGTGTGTGTGTGTGTGTGTGTGTCCCCTCCGGCTGACTGACTCATGTGTGTGTCGTTGTGTGTGCTGTGCACATCTGGGTGATTCTTGGACTGTCCTTTTTGGTTTAAATCAGTGTGTCAGACTCTGGAACCGCGACTGAGATGTTTGGAAGATGAACACCCTTGCCTTACCAAAACCCTGCTAACACCAGCTTTAGATTGAAGACCGCTTCACATTAACTGGTCCTGATAGCTGATCAGATGGCAGTCCAAGCTGGTCTAAGGTGGTTAGAGTTCATAGACCAGCTTGGATCGGCAAGAAACCAGCTCAACATGAAGTGGTGCAAGATATTTCAATATTATACAAAATTAAAAAATGTAAACAATACATTTAAAATATCACATAGAAATTATTTTGTAAATGTATAAATTATTATAAAATATTATAAATGTTATAAGATACTTTATTTGATATATATATATATATATATATATCATAAAATATAATTTATTATTAATTATTTTTTATTATTATTATTAGTGTTCTTGTTCCTCCACTTCTTCTTCTTCTTCTTATATTATTCAAAAATGTGGGGTTCGTAAGATTTTAAATTATTTTAAAATAAGTCTCTTATATTCACCAAGGGTGTGTTTATTTGACAAAATATATTTTACGTTTTTATAATAATTTTAATAATAATGTTTTTGTAGAAACTGCAATACATTTTTTAAATTCAGGATTCTTCAGTGCATAGAAAATTGAAAAGAGCAGCATTTATTTGAAATAGAAATATTTTCTAAGATGATAAATGTCTTTACTGCCAATTTCAATCAATTTAATGCATCCTTGCTGAAGAATAATAAAAGTAATAATAAATTTCTTAAAGAATTTCAGTTTTTAAAATATATACAGAATATTTTAAAAACAATTTGCTTTGAATTTGTAAATAAAGGATTTTTGCAAAAAGTTTAAAATATGTTAAATACATATAAATTATTTTGTTATTAAAACAAATTTAATTATGAAATTACTATAAAAATAAATGTAATTTATTTAAAAAATATATAAAACTGAATTGCCATTGAATTTCTATTGAACATTTTTATTTTTATTTTTGTACAAAACGTTCACAGTATATTAATTGTCATATATAAATTATTATTAAAACAAAGTAAGATCATAAAATTACTATAAAAGTAAAATAAATTCTTTAAAATAATATACATAAAACTGAGTTAATAGCTTTCAGTCACATGACCGGCTCGAAGACCTGGAGGGCAAAAAGGCCAGAACTGCAGCACAATCCTGTCAATTTTCCATCTGTTTCCAAGCTGCAAATATTTAGATCACCTCTCAAAACAATAAAACAAAGATATGTGAACAAAATGCAAGTTTTGGCCATTTGCAATCCATATTATATGCACCTGCCGCAATATTTCAATTACACTAAACAATGCGACAAAACACTTAATGTGCCTTATTTAAAACAGTGATAATAAAAGAACAAATTCAGTAAACACCTTATTGATTATGCTTACTTTTTATAGGCAAGCAGATGAGTCCGGAATATGAACGTAATGCGCTAAATGGTTTCGTGGTTTCTTTATAGTATTTTTATGGGAAACCATTTAATGTGAAACTTTGCACATTGTGTTTATATTCTGGGTTCATCCGCTTGCCTGTACAAAGTTTACATCATCAATTAGGTGTGTACTGAATTTCGCCTTTTAATATCAGTGATTTACTACATTACTACTTAATACACACCGTGTAAAAATAGCTGGCGGTCAGTGGAGCAAAGCCTCGTTTTGCCCTCCAGATGGCGTTCCTATAAGAGAAAAACTATCAATTGGCACATAAACTATTTTTTACAGTTCATTTTACAAATGTGAAACAATATTAGATGCGGTGAAAATGTGGGATTGGATCCAGAAAAGACCAAACGCTCAGAGAATGGAGATTGTGCGCTTGCTCAGGGAGTTTCCTGTAGCCACGCAGCCCTTGACCAATCACTGAGCACCATCCCGTCCCTGCTCTGGCCAGCGCTAATGATACTCCTGACCTCTGACCCCGTGAGAGAGACGAGCAGGCAGAACTAGCCGAGCTCTGAGCCAGCAGCCGACGGGAGCGCGGGACGAGATGGGATGAGACTCCACAGTAATCGCACAGATGGGATGAGAGAATGGAGATTGTGCGCTTGCTCAGGGAGTTTCCTGTAGCCACGCAGCCCTTGACCAATCACTGAGCACCATCCCGTCCCTGCTCTGGCCAGCGCTAATGATACTCCTGACCTCTGACCCCGTGAGAGAGACGAGCAGGCAGAACTAGCCGAGCTCTGAGCCAGCAGCCGACGGGAGCGCGGGACGAGATGGGATGAGACTCCACAGTAATCGCACAGATGGGATGAGAGAAAGATGACGGATTGTACCTGTGTTTATTTTTAAGAGCAGATTTCGTTGTGCTTTTTAGTGTTGTCTGTTTTTAGATACGCTGTTGTGTAACTCCTAAAATATGCAAGTAATTATGTTGCATCACTAGGAATGGAAATCGTAAAGAGTTTAACAGCACTGCTTCTGATTCCACTATTGAAAACAGTTCCTTAACAATTGCTTTTTTCATGAAAAGGGACCACATATAATAAAATAATGTAATAATGAAATGGTTTTAGAGTCTTTTTCTTTAACAAACCTGGTTAGAACCAGTTTTCCCAGATTACAAATTCAGAACGTCTTCCTTTCTTTGTTCAGTGTGTATATATATATATATATGTGTGGGTGTGTGTGTAATAAAAAAAGATTACAAATGCTGTCTTAGGAACTAACTGAAATAAAAATAAATTAAAGCTAAATGAAAATATTTTTTTAATCTAATAGAAATGACAAAAGCAAATAACAAAATTACTAAAACGTTTAAAAAATATTAAAATAAAAAAAAGTTAAAGATAATAGTAAAAAAAATAAAATTCAAAATAGCAATAAATAGCATCCCCCCTTGTTTGAATACTTTTTTCAATTGCAAGTATCTAAATTTAACTAGACAAAAAATTAAGACAAACTATCTACTATATATATATGAGGTGTATTTATGTGTAAGTTACTTTTTTATCTTTTTACTTTTTCATACATTTGGTCAATTAGGTAATACTTGCGTATGATTTTTTTCTGTTTACTCTTCTTTTTTTTTGCAACTGTTTGCATCTGAATTATGACTGATCTTCCTTTTTAATCATTTACAACCCCATTTACACCATAGCGTTATGTTTACTGTTGGCTTTATATGAGAATAAATATATTAGATGCTGTTGCCACGAATCAGATGTGGCATTTCAAATCTAAAAACAGGTATGACAGTGTAAATTCAAAAGTTGATTGCATACCTTGTGTTACTTATAACTCAGTCTGTCTCCCTAAATCTGAACGTGAACGTGGGCTGTGTCACAAAGCTCCTGTAACATGCTGTTTATGGAGCAGAGAGGCGGACAGCAGTGACGTCTATGGAGGGTTTCCACATCGCCTCCTACTCCTCTGAAGACACTTTCTGACATTCTGTCTCTCCCACATGCTCTCGCTCTTCTCTCCGGCAGCCTGTGAAGCTGCCGAGGGCTAAATTGGCTATTTCCATGTAAATATGAGGCTCGTGTGTGGTTTAATTACTATGGTGATGACTTCGGAGCGACCGTGTGATTTGAGCGATCAGAGCGAAGCATCAGGGAGGAGAGCGGGAAGGAGGAACGGCAGATAATGCTAGATGTGCAGAAGCTTGTGATCAATTAGGAGACTGGGAATAAACGTCCTCTTTTCTTCTCTCTGTCTTTTAGGGGAAGAGAAATAAACCAGGAGTGGAGTCCGTCGGGTCTCCTGATTCAGGAAGAGGAAGAGGAGAGAAAAAAGCCATCAAGTAGGTGCAGGGACACTGGGGTGTTTTGTGAGATGGTTGTGTTGGAGCGAAGCAGTGTGTTTTGAACAGAGGAAATCAAAGCAGTGGCGGTCTGTCAGAGGAAGCAAGAGAGGCTCCAAAATGGGTTTAAAATCAGCATAGCAACTAAAATGATAAAAGCAACAGTTCATTTAATTAATTTACATACTAATATGTCTAACCTTGATGCATATAACGTAAAAAAAAATATGGAAAATTCTATTACAAATTTTGTTGTTGTTGTGTGATAGCCCAGATAATTTTAATTAGCAAATTGATTGATTGATTTCAATTAAGCAATTCAATTCTTAACATTGCTTTTTTAAATAATAATAATAATTACTATAAAAATAATAATAATAATGATGATAATAATAATAAAGCTCAGGGAGTTCATACATTTTCGTGTTTCATCCTACATTTTGACTATCATTGGGTTGGGTTGGTGATCAGAAATATTATTACATTATTAATTTTCAAAATCATTAAGATACCAGGGAAAGATTATCTGTGTACTGGAGGGAAGCAATCAAAATCAACAAGAGAGCAATGATATGCAAGTGCTAGAACAAGTCTCAGCTAGCTTAACGCACATGTAGCAAGGGTTTTTAAAATAATATAATAAATAAAAAGAAAACAGATCGAATAGAAAAAGAATAGAGCAAGCTAGTGTTAGAGGCCTTTTTTGCTTTTGTTAATTGTATAATAAATGAAAAGAAAACCGATAGAATACAAAAAGATTAGAAAGCAAGTGTTAGTTTTTTTTATTATTATTATTATATGATATAAAAAAAAATTATATTATATTGTTATTATTGATATATTATTAATATTTATAATCATTAATATTATTATTAATATTAATAACTATGTTGATAATTAATTATGAAAAAATGGGTAGAGTCTACTGCAATCTTGTATTGGCTTGTTCAGTATCATAGCCTCTTAGAAATTTCCCTCATGGACCGGCACTGCCTAAAAGTCATGATTTCCTTTCCATTACATTCACCATTAAGTTGAACAGTCTAGACTTGCTTTGAAGAAAAAACGACTCAACTGCATTCATAATGAGCACTGCGCTCTCGCATTCATTCGGGACGCATCCTCTCCCAGCTATTGACTGACGGTGAATCTGAGAGCGTTTGGTGGAGGATGCGGGATGTTTGAGCTCAGCGGGACGCTGCGTTTCCATTGTTTTGTTCGTGGGTTGATCACACGCCTCCTTATTTGTGGGACGGTTATTCTCGGAGACGCGCGCCGGTAAAAGTCAGTGCGATGTTTTGCCTGTGTCGTGTGCTTCGTGACATTGCAGCTGCTGCTTTGGACTAATGAGTACTTCTTTGGATTTGAAGCTTGCAGGTGCTTGTGGAAATCGGTGTTTTTAACTGAAAATTGCTTCTTTTTTTTCCCCCCTTGAAGCTGTTTTTGAAATTCTAACTTGACATAAATGACCTTTCCTCCCAATTTCAGGTTCATCTGTGCCTTCGTGTTTCTCTCCACCCATGCAAATATTTCTTTTCTTAAGCCAAACGTGAATGTTTTTCACCAAAAATAGCATCTGATATTGTGTTGATTATATTTAATAATGTGTTTTGGTTAAGTGTGATGCTTTACAGCTTGCTATCTCTCTCTTTCTCTCCTTTATGCTTTTGGTAAAACTAATGAATGCACAGGTATAATCTCGCTCGTTTCTGCTCTGCTGCCTCATGGATGCATCGGCTCTGTTTTGATTTCCCTGTTTGCTCATAAAACTGTCTTTGCACCTCCTTATGAATGGTGTATTCCTCTCCTCTTTCACTTCCTGTCCCGGATCAGGAGATCGGCTGATGGATGAAAGATGGCTGATGCTCTACTGACATGTATGTGTGTCTCTTCAGTGATTTAGACAGAGACTTTTGGAATAACAATGACAGCAGTTCAGTACAGCAGCGCTGGAGCTCATACCCGCCCAAGGAGTTTGTACTAAACATTTCTCCTTATGCCCCTTACGGAGATCCACGCCTCACACTCAAGTGAGTCTCTGTTCAGGCCGGTAAGAGACACAAACCCCTGACCCACAGCTCATACCACACCCCAGATCTGTCTAACCAGCAGCACAGAGTCTGATTACTTCATTCAAATCAACTTAGACAGGAGGCGACCGTCTGACTGACATTTAAAGGCGATTTTCTCAATATCTTGATTTCTTTTGCACCCTTAGATTCCAGATTTTCAAATAGTTGTATCTCATCCAAATATGGAAAGCTTATTTATTCAGCTTTCAGATGATGTATACATCTCAATTTAAAAAAATTGACCCTTATGACTGGTTTTGTGGTCCAGGGTCACATATATGCTCCTGAAAATGATTCATATTGTCGATAACGTGGAAGTCGCATTTTATATTTATATTCAGAACTGAATGAGAAACAAATGAATAAGTACGTGTCAGTCCATCAGCCGTTTTTTGCTGACGCGGAGAAATAACTTGCATTCTGCTGCACAATTGCCGTTTTCTTTCGCGGAGTTTACAATGCGCTAATTCAGCTCATTTTAGTTACTGCGTTTCAGTTGAGTCGGCTGTGATTTCAAAACTGTCTAGTTTGCAGTGCGAGAGCTCATCTGTTAGTATGCAATTATGTTGTGGTGTGCAGTGGGCTATATATAAAAATACTTATTTATATATTCATTATTATTAGTAATATTAATTATATAAAATTACATATTTTATACATTTTAAAATATTTCATCTTTTATTTATTCATCTTTTATTTCAAAATATATTGTAAGTTTTAAGTATTTGTAACAAATAAATAGGAAAAATATGCAATATGAAAATAATTGAAGACAAAATGTGTTTTACTGAGAAAAAAACAAGATTTGGTTTTTAAAAAGCCTTTTTCCAAAAGGTACATCTGGAAAAAGGGGGGGTCGTCTTATAATCAGGGTCGTCTTATATTCGGGCCAATACGGTATATAAAAATTATTATTCATTATATTTATTTAACATACGGTATACAGCATACATGTACATGATATGTAGATATAGATACATAGACGTATAAATATATCTATAAATTAATGTATACATTTATATATGTGTTTGTATTTAATATTTTAAAAACTGTAATAAGAAATATTTTACTTTTAAAGTGTACTATTTTATGTAAATATAATATTCAAGTTATAATGTAAGTAACAATGATTTGTAACGTGTATTTAATATAAAAAGAATAGTACATTATATAATAATGGAAGTAACAATTATGTATTATATATTTGGTGTGTGTTTATACATAAACATGTATTAGATTTATTAAACATATGCATGTACATTATATATATATATACATATAAGTACACACACACATACATATACACATATATGTCGCAGATAAAGCAAATCAAATGCATTGAACCAAGCGTTTTTCTGTTAGTATTTGTTGTTTTTTGTGTGGTACGTGTCAGACGGTCAGTGAGTGGACTGTAGGCTAAAACTAACCTCTCCTAACACAAGCCATTTATAACTGTACCCCATCTCACCCGTTACCCAACAACCTCAAGCACACCCTGATCACTGGCAGGGCTGTAATGATGAGGAAGCTTCCCATAATCCAACACAATTTTCCAAAAGAATATGGAATCATTACACAATCATATAATACAGTATCACTACACAATACACCAACCAAGATGACAAAACGCTTTGAAGGCGAAGTGTGTAATTTCAGCTCCTAGGGATGGATAGATATATATATAAAAAATTATTATTTTATAATAATAATAAATAATATTGTTTAACTTTCAATATCTGCCCTTACTGATATTTTCCAGCCTAATTTTTAAATTTAAAAGCATTTATTTAATAAGGAACACATTTCAAAAGGAATATTTATCATTTTTCATACTGTATATTATAATATTTTGATGTTGTAGCATAGCAGCTGTTTAATTTAAATCTTTTAACAAAATAGATTATATTTATAATATTGGCAATTTATTGGTTATCTGCTATATAATGGATATATTTACTGATTTATTGAAATCATTCAAAATTCAGTGTTAGTATTAACATTTTTTCTTAGTAAAATTTTGAATTTTTGCTTTTATTTTTATATTTTCAGTTTTCATTTTAATTTAAGTTTGTGCCTTTTCATTTTATTAGTTTTTATTTCTATTTAGCTAGTAATTTTAGTACTTCAACATACTTAATTTTTTATTCATATTTTTATTTATTTGCAAAATTCATTATTTCTCATTTTAGTTTTTTCATCTCACATTTATATTGTAGGTTATTCCAGCTTTATATCAGTTAACGTAATGATTTTTAATTTTAATAGTGTCGGCTCCCCTAGTGGCACCAAACAGAATTACAATCTGTTTATTCGAGCAGCTGTTCTTCATGGTGTCGCTTGTGACGCAGAAATTGCACACTTCATATTTAAGTTTGCAATATGAATGAAAGTCATTATGCAGATTTTATTCTTGACACCACATTTATGTTCTGTACGCTTTGCAGGACTGCAGGGGCATGATCAATATATTGCCTCTAAATCCACACTAGACGTGATTTTCTTCTTACCAAAAGTGCCAAAATTGGACACTAAACGTCCCTCACTCCCTACAGCCCTGCTTGTCTCTTCTTAGCTTATGACCTTTAACCTTTCACCCCCTCCTCCCCCTCCCCCCATGGGGTGTTACCATGGAGACGGACAACCCTCCAGCCTCAGCTATCCAGCGAACAGCAACAATAACAGTAAACAAACATAGAAAAATGGCGTCAGTAGTGTGTAACCCTCCCTGCCTCCCGCTCCCGTTGAGGGTTGACCGTTACAGTCTGATTGTGGTGTGGTAACCCCCGTTTCACCTTGTTTTGAGATGGTGTTGTTTTGCCTCTGTGCTCTTTCTCGGGCTGGATGTGTCCCTCTAGCACTCCTGATTCCTCCAGCGCTCAACCCTTGCCGCCGGACTAATCCAGACAGGTTTCGCCCGCCGCTTCCCAGAAAGAGCCAAACGCTTTAAACACACTTGTCCATCAAATCCGGCGGCAGACGCACGGAGGGGTTCAGATGGGGCGGCCGCTGTAGAAAATGACAAATTAAATAAACATGTTAGCCGCGGTGGCTCAGGTGATTCAATTTTCCTGCCTCTGGACCGGTGAGGACCTGCTGGATTAAACGGTGTGGGGTGTTTGCAGACCGCTGCACTGAAGCTCGGCTATTTGAGACGGAAGCCGCAGATTGAAACTAAACCGACTGGGAACAGACGCTTCGTCGCACATGTAGTCTAGTTTGCAGCATTTCATCTTCATTTAGACTTTAGAACTTAATAGAAGATAGAATTGAAATAGATGTCTTGAAGGAGATTGTTCTTTTGCATGACTTTACATCCATTGGTCGTCTTTTACATTTGGTTTAGTGATCGCAACCGATCAGATCATATAAAGTTTTTATATCAATATAATATATCAGTTTACATATCAATTATATTGTGATCCTTTTTGTCACAATATAGTAGATGCTTGTATTTCGGGATGCACGGTATATTAGTCATTGGCTAATACAAGAGTGTTTTTAAAAAATATTTTTGTATTATATATATTAAAATGGCAAAATGTACTTTTTATTTATAATTGTAATTATATGGATTAATTATTTGGATATTTAATTGTGCAAACTCATTTCACCTTTTTTACATTTGTCTTCATCTAACATTTACACTAATAATTACTCATTTAATCTCTAGCAAATCTCAAAATGAATAACCATTTTTTTTAGTGTACATAATGTTGCGATGCCTGTATTCATTTGTAGCATTTAAAACAATTGATTTTAATTAGTTTATTTAGACAACTTGGTATAGAATTTTAATATCAGCCGTTTATCAGTTATTGTCCATAACATGAAAATAAATATCGTCATTGTTATCTGCCATAATTGTAATGAAGGTGCATCCTGATAAATATCTAAATGCTAATTATTGCTATTATTATCATCAACAACATCATCATCATCATCATCATCATCATCAGTTTTGTTAGTTATTTGCCATAACACCATAATTATTGGTTTATTGGTATCAAACAATTATTACTATTTTTATATTTTAATATTTTCTATATTATTATACATATAAAGTATACACACACACATACTAATATATATATATATATACTGTATATATTAGTATTATTAGTAGTGGTATATTCCTCACCTGGTTTTGTGCCAGTCTGCGGCTGCCGGCTTTGTCACTTAAAGCTCTTTTTGCTGTTCTCCTGTCGTTTTTGATGTTGTTGGTGTTGATGTTGTATTGTGTTTGAGCGGTGCAGCAGTTACATGAATCTCTTAACTGCATGATGACTTTCACCAGGTCCACAAAGTGGTGACCATGATTATAAATATTGATGACAAAAGTAACCCTCATCAAATTGTATGTGTCTGCGTGAAGTCTGCAACATTTATGGGTGTCATTAATGCGAAGCATGTCACCGGGAGTACAAATGTGGTTATTTGAAGCATCATGGTTGTCCATTTGTACGACAAAAACACCAATTTACACTAAAATAAAGGTTCTTATTGGCATCAATGATTCCATGAAGAACCTTCAACATCTATTCCACAAAGGTTCTTAATAGTGGCGGAAGGTTCTTTAGATGTTTAAAATGTTCTTCACATTAAGAAAATAATGGTTCTTTGGTGAACCAGAAATGGTTCTTCTATGGCTTCAAACCAGCTTTTTGGAGTTTATAGTGGAAAAACGTTCTTTAGATGCTTAAAATGTTCTTCACACTAAGGAAAAAAAGGTTATTTTAAAAAGGATCTTTGTGGAACCAAAATGGTTCTTCTACACTTTTAAAAATAAAGGTTCCAAAAGTGTTTTTTTTCCTTCCACAGAAGGACCATTTTTGCCTCCCCATAGAAGCATTCAATGAACAGTTCTTAAAAGAACCGTTTTTTTTCTTAGTGTGAAGAATTTTTTAAACATCTAAAAGGACCGTCTTTTACTATAAAGAACCATAAAGTTTCCATGGATG